TACAAAAAACCAATCCCCCTCGTCCAGACTCTAGACAGCCCCTAACCATCGATCTCCTCAGCATCTGCCTAACTACTCTCCGTTCAGGTTTATTTCCCCCTAACAAAACCAGAACCTTGGATGCCATGTTCAATTTGGCTTTCTTCGGCTTCCTCAGAGTCTCAGAACTCACCACCAACTCAAACTTCAACCCAGCCATACATCCCACATTCTCCGACCTTCAAATCATAAACCACGATATCATACGTTTCAACATCAAACAAAGCAAAACTGACCAACTGAAACACGGCCATTCAATCTTCATCTTCAATTTGCCAACCCCCATCCAACCATATCAGTCCATAGCCCTTTTTCTTCACCAGAGGAAATCCCAAATGACCTCTTCTCTTGACCCTCTTTTTACCGATGATAAAAACCTTCCTGCCTCCAGACATTGGTTCCAAAATAACCTCAAAGCCATCCTCAGCAGATCCGGCATCCCAACTAAAAATTTCTCTTCCCATTCGTTCCGCATTGGGGCAGCCACTACAGCAGCACAGAGGGGACTTTCCGAACACCAAATCAAAATGCTGGGCCGATGGACGTCTCATACCTTCGAAACATACATTCGATCTGATCTTCACCACATTAGACAAGCTCACCTAACACTAGCATCTTTCTGAGTCCAGACCGCTTCCCCCCTACTATTCCGCGCATTTCTGCTTACTTAGTCCCGCAGGGCTCCTATTTCATCCGGATGCAGCGAGAGTTCCCCCTTTTCGAATCGGCGTGAGCTACCACTCCTGGAGTGGGCTCTCCCATTCGAATCGCCGTGTTGGTTCCCCATCCAGATGCCGTCCAGGCTCTCCCGTTCGAATCGCAGTGAGGGCTCTCCTGTTTGATTGCGATTGAGATCTCCTTTGATACATATAGGGAGCTCTCTCCTTCAAATGTGTGGGAGCTCTCCCGGTCGAATCGCAGTGTGAGTTTTCTGTTCGGGCGCAGTGGGGGCTCCCCCTTTCCGAATCGCCGTGTGATCCTCCATGTTATTAACTATGGGGGCTCTCCCGTTCGGATCGCAGCGGGAGCCCTCCTATCCGAACAAGCGGACTGGAGGTACCAAGGTCCATCTGTCCCTCGGGTGCAGCGGGCCCGCATGTCCTTACGGGGTTCAAACCCTCGCATCGGGGGGAGGGTAGCTCTGCGTTTATATATACACCGCAGGCTCCCTCTTTCTGCAGCGGGGGGGGGAGGGGTCGCTTTGGACGTCCGTGGCCCGTTTCCCTGCAGGGCCGAGGACACCCTGCCCCATCCATGACATCTAGGGGCCCCTTGGTATTTTTTACTTCATAGGGCTCCATGGCACGGATGTGCAGCGGGGTGGACTTCCAGCTACGCTCTCAAACCTCCAGTCCTGAGATACTCCCGCAGGAGTAATTCCAGGAAAGTCACTGCCGCAGCAGTGCAGCAGTAAGTTGCTCCTTAATTAAAGCTCCAAAGTGCAGCTCTCTCACCATCATCATTAGTATAGCTTAAAAATTTCACTCCTTTTGGGGGGTATCACCATTATTCTTCAAGTATTTAGGTATCCCGTATACTTAAACCCTCAGATATGTTGATCTCGCTAAACTCAACCCGCTGTCCCAAATTTATTTCTGCACTTTTGGGGGGTATATCAGAGCTCGAGTTGAAGCTGCTTCATCGAGCCCCTCATCAGTGGACAGCAAGCCAAATAAGTTTACACACAATTTCCTTAAGATTATATGGGCAAACGAACTCGTTAAATGAAGTTCCTTAATGTAAGTTAGGGAGGAGCGAGCCCATCTAATCTTTCAATCAACAGCCAGAGTATATAAGCAGCTGCTTACCTCTCTCCAGTCGCAGCTGTTCCAGCATCCCTCCACCTCCCCAAAACTCCACCTTCATCTTAGGTACCTTGCCCTTCGTAATCATCCTATATCAAGTCCCTCGGGGTATATCAGAGCTCGAGTTGAAGCTGCTTCATCGAGCCCCTCATCAGTGGACAGCAAGCCAAATAAGTTTACACACAATTTACTTAAGATTATATGGGCAAACGAATTCGTTAAACGACTATTAGTCAACAAGAAAAATCTTTAGTTGGGAACAGCGCTAGTACATAATTCATAAATTCTGGCACTGTCATACTTCTACATCCTTTTTTACAGTTTGAAGAAGGCCACCATTCACTCCTATCATATGGACATGCATTAGCAGGATTTTTTTTTTTTTTTTTTTTACAAAAATACTAATTTTGTTTTCAGAAAGTGTGAAGTGACTTGTGACCAAGTATGGTGACCCATACTCAGAATTTGAGCTCTGCATTTAACCCATCCAAGTGCACACACACACTGTGAAAACACACACGGAGCAGTGGGCAGCCATATTGCTGTGGCGCCCGAGGAGCAATTGGTGGTTTGGTACCTTTCTCAAGGGTATCACCTCAGTCCCCCCACAACAATTCCTGCCGGACCTGAGACTCAAACCCGCAACCTTTGGGTTACAAGTTCAACTCACTAACCATTAGGCCATGACTGAAAGAGAAATATCATACCGTTTTTAGAATAACACCAGGGTTTAATATACTAGTAAGATATTTTGAAGAATGTTGGTAATCAAACAGTTTTGATTTGTGTGACTTCCATTGTTCTGTGGTTTCTGGCACCAAGACATTAGAAGCAGATCCTTTAAGTCCTGCAAGTGGTGTGGTGAAGCCTCAATGGATTGGATTTATTGGTCCAGCAAATCCCATAGATATTCAGTCAGACTGAGATTCTTCCATTGCTCCATGGTCCAGTTCTGATGCCTACATGTCCATTGTGGGTGCTTTCACACAAACTATGCACTGTGTGTTCTGATACCTTTCTATTGTGGCCAGTATTAAGTTTTTCAGCAATTTGAGCTACAGTAGCTCTTCTGTGTGATCAAACATACTAGCCCTCACTCCCCATGTGCATCAATTAACCTTGAGCACTCATGACCCTGACGCAAGTTTACCAGTTGTCCTTCTTTATACCATTTTCAGTAGGTACTAACCACTGCATACCAGGGACACCCCACATGACAGGAATTTTGGAAATGCTCTGTCCCAGTTGCCTAGCAGTCGCTATTTGGCCCTTGTTAAGTTGTAAAGTTGTCAAAAGCCATATGGGGATGGTAGTTGTTTCTTATGTGGATGTCTGTAAACTTCAGATGGTAATTTATTCACGGCGAAGCAGTGAGTTCTGTGATCCTACCAACCCGGGAGCGCACTGCTGACGTGGTCAGTCACATGATTTCCTGCATGGTATATATACTGTATACCTGTTGCTGTCATCATAATGCATAATGGCCCATTTCAAATGTTTACATGATTTTCTTCTCTTTCTTTTTATTCTTAAAAGCTTCCACTGGCTGTGGTCGTCTAAAATGCATGCAAATTACAGCGAAGCGTAACAATTACTGCACGGTGCTTGGCAGTGGTCAAAAAGAATTAAAACAGTGAATTTTGAATTGATCCCTTCTTGTAAACTCAATGGTGTGGATTCAGACAGCAATTAAATAAAAAAACAGGTAATTCGGCCAGAGATTTTACACGGGTGGTGGGAGAAAAACACAGACATTCTAGATTCGGACAGCAGTAAAATTACTGACTAACCCCTATAAATGTTGAAAATAGCTTACGTCCACATGAGAAACTATTACAATCCAAATAGATCTAAAGTTCACTTGCCTCCAACACATGAAATTAATGAACTGATTGTTCACTTGGTGTCTAATATATCCCAGCCCTTGACAGGTGCCATTGTAAGGATATGATCAATGTTATTCACCATTCAAAAATATTCGCCCTCTTATAAATTAAAAGTGTAGTTTGTAAATTATGCACCATTTGCATTATTAAACAGAATATGAAAAAAGAAGTCCCAACCTAAACACACACTATCCTGCTGGTTGGTATGCTCAAACAGAGCAGTGTTTAGTATCACAGTGTCTCTGGAACAGGCCACAAAAGTTGACAACTAAGGTTATGAGAAACATGGAAAGCAACTGTTACACAGACAAGTCAATCAACATTTCTCCTACACCACTCAGTATTCAGCTGTGTAGCTCAACCTCAAATTTAGTTGACTATTCCATCAAGTTATTCAAATCTTCAGCCAAAAAAAAAAAAAAAGACTTCTCCATATGGTCAGGCTTCTCAAGTGCTCTCTCACAATTCACCAACCTCTATGAGCTGTATCAATATTAATGAATTACCAGAGGCTCATTACTGGACAAGTGGGGTCAGTTTGCGTTTGGCAAGTCGTGTCACGGAATGGTCAGCTTCTAATGAACTGGACACAGCTCAAGCCGTTCTGCTCCATACCACCTCATTATCACTCTGCCAATGGAATTAACAGAAGTGCCTGTCACATACAGAGCTGCCATCTTCTTCTTGGAACAACATAAATGCCTTTTGATATCCACCTTATTTTTTACGTTAGAGCGGGAGCAGTCATTTGTAACTTGAATGTGCGAGGCTTTCAGCGTGATCAGCTTAAAGTAATTTTAGCTGTACAAAACAGCTCGTTATGCAAACTGGCATTTATCACTGTATTGTTGTAATTATAAAAGTACACTGCTTTGTAGCTCAAATTGTTTTACTGTTTACTGCACTTTGTTATTCTTCTAGTTATTGCAGCGAATGAATCGGAAGTCTCACACATTCGCATCAAATAGATTACGTCTGCATTGCAAAATAAGATAAAAAATCTATAGATTGGTTACTCATGTGTCCTGAGATTTTTTCGTGAAAACGGAATTGCATCAAAGTTATACTGCAATCTGTGAAATTGCTAGAAGAAAATATACACACATAGTCTTAAAGAAATGACCTAAATAACATGGAATCTAAATAGGCTGCCATGATCAACTGCATCATTGGATTATTTTCAGATTTTAATGGAAGTGTAGTCAAAGAAGTAACAGCATTTTTAAGCAATCTTGCCCTAAAAAATGAGGGTGCCATGTGAAAGGCTATTTGAGGAGTTGAGGTTAGAAGCACTTGCTGTTTTGTGTCCCTCAATTTAGGATGGCCTCTCATCTGAAATCTCTGGGCAAATCCATGATCAGAGTTTGAGTCAGACACTTCTGATCTGGCTCTATCCACAAGAGGACCATAATGCTGAATTTGGGGCTTTGGAGTCTCTGATACTTAGTTTAAATTTGGCTTTCACAATTACCTTTTCTATTTTTGGCCTTTTTGCCAATTTTATTTATTAAAACAGGAGTTTTCTGCGTTTTTAAGGCTAAGAACCACTTGGTGGATAGAGAGACGGGCCAAATATGGGATGGACAATGAAAGATTTAGCTGAATATTTGAATCTCACAGTTAACTTTTATTTTTTAACTTTATATTTGTCTTAATTGTGATGACAGTGTGCAAAAAGTGACAGAATTCTATTTTTGGAATAATTTCTGCAATGTCAATGTGTTGAATCTGACTGGTTGTGATTGAGTTTCTGGAAACTTATTGCATTGCATTCAGTCAAACACTAAGAAATGGACATCCATCAAATCCTGACCAAACATATATTAATAAACCAAGCGAAATTATAATGAGTTTCAAATGACATTATAAGATGATGACAGAATTTTCAAGTGAAAGGTGAAAAAAATAAATGGTAGCAGTCTATATTTCTTATCAAGGACTCTTGTTCATTAGCCCAAGCAGGCCAGTAATGAACATCACAGGCTGAAATTGAATAGATCACATTCTTTCTAAAGGTCATTCATGCCCTAAAATGCTGGGCTGGATATGAACATGTTATGTTCCAAATCTATTCGCTCTCCTTTCCTCCCCCTTTACAGCACTGTACTCTCCAGTGGATGTCAGATGTCTTTCAAAAAGCCCATTTCTGACACAAGGCCAGCATGCCTGCAGGAAGCAGCTTTCAAAGTGTTGGGCCCCGGGTGCTGTTGGCCTGATTCAGCCCTGCAAACAAAGGCAGACAGAGAGGAGAGATGAGAGCTAATCCTCAAATTAATGATTGCTTTGATTCAAAGGAGAGACCTCACATGACTCATATTTCCTCACATGAAGATTGCAAAGAATCTGTGAGAGTTAGAAGCATTGGATTCGAGTTTTGCAAAGTATGTGGGGAGTATGCCATTTGGATGGGTGAAAAAAAAATCTCTAATGGGATCTCCATTTTTTTCTAACAGACAGAGAAATGGATAGGCATCTCAGATTTTTCACCTGAGAAAAAGACCCCAGTATTTATCATTATTATTATTATTATTATTATTATTATTATTATCATTAGTAGTATTATTATTAGTAGTAGTAGCAGTAATATTAGTAGTAGTATTAGTAGTATTATTATGACAGTTTTGATTATGATGACCGTGGTTCTGGAGGTTATAGTGTTGATGACGAGGATGTTGACAATGGTTGTGGTGATTCTGGTATTTATGATGATGTTAATGGTGGTTATTATAAACAATTATGGTAATGATAACTGATAGCGATGGAGATTACGATGATGGTGGTGGTGGTGGTAATGATTAATATTATAGTAATACTGGAAATAACAGTGGTGGTAGTGATGATGATGATGATAGTGGTAATGATGAATATGATGACAATTATGATGATGGTGGTGATGATGAAAATTATGGTAATGATAACTGATAGCGATGCAGATTATGATAGTAATGATGTAGTAATGATGAATATTATAGTAATGATGGAAATGATAACAGTGGTAGTAATGATGATTATGAAAATGATAATGCTAGTCATAATGAATATGATGATTATGATGATGGTAGTGATGATGAAACTTATGGTAATGACAGCTGGTAGTGATGATGCTTATAATGATGATGGTGGTGGTGATGATGAAATTATGTTGACGATAATGATAACTGTGATGGTGGTAATGATGATGATTATGAGGATGATGATAATACTGATGTATGATGTATTGATGATGA